ATCCAACCGAAAATATGTAAATTGTGATTTAATTTCTATACGTTATTTGAAGCGTTAAAATTTAATAGGATAGGTATGCACCTGCAAGATACTATATGTGTGTAAATTTGTTATTATTATTTTAGTTATATTTTTATTTTTCTAAAAATGCAATGAAACCAAAATTCCAAACTTTTGAACTTCACACTGGAACACACACGAACTGAAGCTTAAGTATTTAGAGGACGACATTTGTACCACACGATGGGTTGTAAGCAGTTGCCACTGCAGTAACAGCAACACACGAAACACCGAACGTTACAATGAAGTTGCATTAGTGTTGCATTTGCTGCTACTGCAGATGCTGCAGATGCTGTTAATGCTGGATTTGATATTTACGTTTTGATGTTGCTTGGAATAATGTTGCTGTTGCTGTTGCTGTTACTGTTACTGTTGTTGTTATTTCTATTGTTTTTAATGTTTGCTGTTAGAAGCGAATGTACATTGAACTTTATACTTTTTTTCAGTGTGATTGCTTGCTCTTACATTGTGTTGCGGTTATACTTTCCAGAAGACCCTCGGGGTTATATATGCAATTATGTATAAATACAGTCAGTCAGTGCACATTTCTATATATTTATAAATATATTTGTGTTATATGTAAATGTGTGTCCGCATGAAACTATGTTATCAAGCAACGGTTTGATGGAAAATGTGCATTACTGCATAATGTAAGAAAATCAAAGAAAATTAAAGAAAAAATTATGAAAAAAAGTGAAATTCTGTTATTTCAGCTATAAATTTTCTATTGGTAACACTGCAATGAACTCTTCACAGCACTACGTGAACTTGTTGGTAAACTGAGTTCAATGATATCTGAGCATAGTTTCAATTATAAATGGACTGAATGCATAATTCAATTTCGAAGGCAAAATTTAATAATTTTTATATATTATTTTATATACATATTATTATTAAAAATATTAATTTATTGCTTTTACAATATGAGTGCTATATTTCCACTCATTAATATTTTACACTTATGAAAAACCTAAAAAAAAAATAAAATTTTCAATTATTCAATTGCATGTGGTTTGGTCTTTATATGCTTTTTCACACTATACTTCAAAATTTATGCTCGACTCCGATGTATCTATGCAAATTTTAAGGTCAACCTTTTTTACTATACAATTTTCTTTATTACACGGCGTGCGAAAAGCGCATAAGTTTGCGCCATTATTCGTATCTATGCACGTAATTCTATCTTTCGATGCCGTATGTGAAAGTCTTGATTGTTATTAACCCCATGATTATCCCATCCAACTAATATAGCACTAGCCAAAACAACAGGTTGAATGGTTGAGGTATGTGCACATTTTTGGAGTTGATAATATATGTTGGTGTTTTCATCAGATGCAGTTGTCTTCTGCAGTAGTGGCTTTATTAAAATCCCGGCTTTGTTCACCCCAATGCATTCATTTATGCTCAAAAGTTTGCATGCATGCATGATAAAATGTAATAAAATTGATTTTGTATAATATTTTGGCTTTTGAGGAATTAAACTTATGGGTGAATAAAACATTATCAAGTGGCAACGATGTTCTCACCTTAGAAACTATCAAAATAAATTTCAATTTTATTATTACCATGAAAGGTAATACATAGTCATTTTGTTCGTCGGACTTTAAATGGATTACGGCACGCTTTACTTTCATAAAATAATTAAAAATATGAAAAAATATGAAAAAATATGAAGGAAAGAATAATTTTTCATTTGTATTCATAAGAAAATAATAAAAAAATATGCAACGTTTAGTTGAATTTCAATTTAAAACTTGAATATTTAAGTTTGAGAATTGAGTTTATTGCAGTATTTTCGAAAAATACTAAAGCCTATATATGAACAGAATGCATACTTGATCAGTATCAAAAGCTGAAAAATTTCGGGTATATATGTTTAAAAATTAAGGAATAATAAGGCAGCATTTGGTTGAGAAACTTATGTCATTTTCGATTGGTAATCTAAATTAAATCTAGATTTAGTCTAATTTTACTTTCGATCTTTCAAATTTTGTTGTCTAATCGAACATTTTTAGAATAAATTAAGATTTTTTCAGTAGTATTAGTAGCAGGGTTCCTATTTGCTCACTCATGAGCAGCTCAGGCTCATTGGCTCATGAGCGTGAGCCCAAAATTGGCTCATATTGAAGAGCTCTGTAGTTGTGCTCGCTCGTGAGCGTGAGCCATCGTATGAAAAGAGTTTTTTGCCGGCTCATGAGCCGTGAGCGGAATGAGCCAAAATGAGCCGCTCATGGTTACGCAAATACGAACTCTGATTAGTAGACATTTATACTCTTCACAAATACATATATCGAACCAAATTGAGCTTTATCTGTCAAGTCATATGAAACAGCTGTTAATTTTAGAGTAATCTTGCTACTGTAGAAAAATATCCAGACTGTTATAAATTAATCTTGAATATTATACATTTTACCCTATATTTACCAATCGAAGATAAAAATTGTACAAAAACTGCATTAAAAGAGCATCTCGATTGAAAAAATTATCCCAAATTTACTAATCGGCAACACCTAAGATTAGAGGCTATTTAAAAATGTTGGATTTTTTCTATCGTTCCATATCCTATTTTTGCTTGCACTTTATATTGGTATTTCGTCTTTTCATAGTTATAAATTTTTAACATTGTATAATCAGTATTAAAAATTAAATAGTAAATTATTTGAAAAATATTTTAAGTGGAAATATTGTAAATATATTTTTTAAAGAGATTTCTAAAAATTAATAAATTACAACAAGAAAAATCTTTTCATATTAATTAATCAATTAATTTTTTTGGGTGAACATACATTTGTTTCGAGTATTGCCAAATACCTATCATCAGTAATCTTGGAAATATTTCTTTTATTTAATTATTCGTAAATAATTTTTTGAGACTGCAAGTACCAGGGATTGAACTCGTGCCCTGCCAAATTTGAAGCACAGAGTCAGCGTTCATTAGCCAACTGACCCAAAGCCGTACTTGTATGTTCGTACATTTTTGTATATATTTTTTAAAAAACTATTGCAATATAAACCAAAACTTCGAACTGGAACTAAAATATATTCAGGGCAAAATACATTAGTTTTTTATTAATATACGAATACTGGGTAATATTAAAATTATATGCGTTTCTTTTGTCACTAGATAATGTTGCCAACAGAAAAGTAATTATATTCGATCATGACAATATCAAACCACACACATCTTTGATGATTTAGGATAAGTTAACAAAACTTTGTTAGGAAGTTTTGATGCATTCACTATTTATTTTGATCTCTGCAAAACTCTCTTAAGAGTAAAATAATGGAGTAAAAATTTACTCCACAAAAATAGTGAGAACCTATTCAATCGAACCTGGTTACATTAATAAAAAAATGCATATATGACCTATATATGACATATGTATATATATGACTTTTATATATCGGGTTTTGGTTGCCTCAAAACCCACTGAATCTCTAGAGAAATCAGTTCTTTTCCATTTTTATATTGTGTCTAAATGGTTGTAGATGCAAAATTGATTAGTTTGGAGGTGTTAACCAAAATCTGAACTGATTTTTAAGTCCTTTGCACTCTAATTTATATATATCATAAATAGATTACTCCACTACGCATTATTAAGAACGAAGTACTGGGAGAAGACGAAGAACATACGTGTGATTGTAATCTGTATTCTGCGTTACTGAGATTATATTGTTAATAAAACTCTTAGATAAAACATTTAATCTCTTTGTTGTGAATAAAATATTTACAAAAGATAGAAAAACTGTCAACAACTTTAGTTGAAGTCATCTATCTGAGCAAATTTATTCGCTACGCTATATGCCGTCTGTAACACATATTTAATATTGCTTCATTAAAGACTAATAAGGGTTTTATTGCTAATGAATATATTTTACTAATAATCATAAATGTGATTTATTTCACATATCATGTTTATAGAAGTTTATATTATTTTATTAAGGACTTTTAAGGACTTTATTGCTCACGGTTTGATTTATCTGCAAATATTTAATAATATAGCAATGAATATGTTGGATAGTACATAGCTAATGTGGGTAAAAAAGTTGAGGAATCAAAAAGATTAGTTAAACACTTTTAAAATCATAAAATATTTTATTTGAAGATTTTATATCTAAATGCATAAAAATTTGTTTATTACTAATTAACCGTGAACATTTACCAAATAAAAGTTTAATTTGTTTATAGAATTACAACTTAAAGTGAAATTCTCAGCAAATTTGTGAACATAATAATTTGTTTGCTGGCATAGTTAAGATGCGCCAGCATCTTAGCAAAGGTACATATACGAGAAGTACTTGCACTTCTTGCAGATGATAATCTCAGAAGAAAGAAGCTAGCATTTTGCAAAAACGTAAAAATTGTTGAAATAAAAACTCAACTCTTGTTTTGCTTATAAAAATAATAAAAATAACAATAAAAAAATCTAACTGCCTAAGCAACTGTGAAACAAAAATACAACTTTTTTACAATGTAAGTGTAAAGTTGCACATCTTACAGTGTAAGATGCGCAAAAAGTGGCCTTAAAATTGAACGTTTTCTCGATAAAGATGTAAAAATGCTAAAGAAACTCTCGATGCATACGCAAAATGCAGCGGCATGAAAAGCTATAAACTCAAACTTTTTGTTTTATGAGTAAATTAGCCTATCAGCATTTGCATAAACAGTATCTTCAGCAGCTAGTTTTAGCGATACAAAGTCAATGCTTAAAAAGAATTATGACTAAATGCAGCTGCACTTCAACCAGATACCCGTGAGCACATGAGATGTGAAATATGCGAAAAATGACTTAAACATAATTAACTGAAACGAAGCACTTACTTACTTAAACAATAACATACGTACAGCCAATGTTTAAATATTTGTAATTAGCTAAATACTGTATTAAACCTTTTTAATATTTTTTTGTTTTAACATTTTTTATTTTTATTTTTTACAGAAACCGTCGGCCACAGCAAAACCCACCAAATATCACTACTATCCACACAATCAACACATCTATTTATTGCCGGAATGTGCGATCCAACAAGTCTGCAATGCAGTTTATGTGCGCCTAAATTATACACAACCACTATGTGCCTGTCCATCGAGGTAAGTTGAACACAGGAAGTGATTTCTATGATAAATTTGAGAAACGTGCAAGTGTATTAAACATTTACACACGTTGGAAAATAGACAACCGATATGCCGGTACAGATATCTGTCTGGGTGTCTACCTGTCTATCGGTCTATCAGTCTATCTTATTGTGTATATGTCTGTCTGTTTGTCGCTTTGTCTAGTTCCAAACATTCCCATTACAATATGCAGAAGAATCGATGTACACAGAAATAAACGCCCCCGATTGAGGTGGAACAGTACTACGATCAAACTTCTCAAGATGCTTGAAAGAAATTAAACAATTTTACAATTAGCCTGATTATATGCCTCACTATATGCAAAAAAAAATTGCAAGCTATTACATTGTGCTATCTTAAGTAAAATATTTAAATAGAAAAGATAGCTAACTAAATAATATTTTATTAAAAATAGTTTATGAAAAATGTCACGCCCCTTCTTTGCATAAACAGCGAAAACTTACATTCTTTTCGACTTTATAATTTATTATATGGATTATATTTTTTCTGCCAGGTACCGTGATCCGTGCTCTGCTAGCCTAAATGAAGATGATCAGCACACCACGAAGCTAATCGGTGATGGTAAAAAAAAAGTAAGTAAATCTCTTTTAAATTTAATTGAAGTACACTAAGAAGTTGCTAAGATCCGAAACCGCAACGCTGAAGTAAATTAAAGAAATGCTAGGTTCACGCAAAGCAAGTAAGCTTTTGATTGCCAAACCAAATTGAAAAACCACGCAAAGCTCATACAAAAGAACTCAGTTTAACTGCCCAAAATTGTTTAAAACCAAAAACTAAAAAAATTATTTTTAAATTACTTAACTGCAGATTTCAAATTCAATGTTAACTAAACAAAAACAATAAAAAAAGGCATAAGGCATAAGGAGGGATTTTAGCCAATTCATACCTGCAGCACTGAGCAATTTCCCGCTAATTCTATGGAGGCTGTTTTTTCTTTCCAACTACTCCAATTGCGCCTATTTAATGCCGTATAAGCTTACTGACTCATAAACAGCTTGTAGCTGACTAAGTATTACTAATCAAAAGTTACCGGTTAGTTTGCCATCGGTTAATGGTCCGCATTTTTATTGTTGGCAATAAAATTATCAAATGTTTGTATCAACCTGGAATCAATTTTAACTAGGAAGCATCTTCTAATGCAGTTACATGTTTGGCGGCTATGGTACCGTAGTAGCCACTCTAACAAGCACGTAATTGCATCAATTTTAAAGCAAACGTTGCAAGCCACCGATTTGGGAAATCTTATTTCCCCCATCCAAAAAAAAGTATACAAATATTTTATTGGTTATCTCCGTGGTATACTTCTTCTTGGAGTTGCTCACACGAAATTGTAGTTTTTATTTATGTGCCCAATTAGGAGTTTTTTTCAAATGGATTTTCACGCAAGCTACTTTTATTAGGAATTTATTAGCAGCATTAATTTGTTGCTTAGTGTGAGCATCTCTGAACAGTAATGTTTTTGGGTTAACAAGACTTAGACTCGTAAATCATGTATGTAGGCAAGCGGCCTATTTCCGATTTCTATTACTTGTAAATGAATTTAATATGAAAATTACTACTAATAAAACAAAATGTTTATTAGATGATTTGTTTATTTAATTTTTTTATCATCTAATAAAAAATAATATATACACATGTAGACAATATTTATTTAAAAAACTAAATTTATTAATGAAAAGATTAATATAAATAAAACTATTCACTAAACATATGCATTAATAAAAATATTGAGAAATATTGCCATAAATATATCTGAAATCAAATTTTATATTTTTTCTGTAAAAGATCAACGAGAAATCCATGGTTTTCCCAAAATTATTATAAAAACTTCACAGATACATTTAAGCAATGCGAAAAAAAAGCAAAATACATCTTCATCTTTAAAATGTATCTTGACAAAGTTAATTAATTTTACATATGCAAAGAAAAAAGCAAAACACATCTTCAAAATATATCTTGACAAAGCTAATTAATTTCACATATTTAAATAAAATAAAAATTAAAACTAGTTAAAAAAAATTATTTTAATTAAGAAATTTAATGGAAAGAAATAATTTCTCTCGTCCTAATTACTTTAAATTCAAAAAATATATATAATTATTTGTTAATTATCACCTTTCCGAAAGAGATTAAGGCACTCTAGATAGATAGATCAATTTTGAAGGGGTTGAGATCATCATGTCACTGTATCCTCTGAGTATTACTGTGACAAACCCACTTTAGTTCTATAGGCGCAGAGCAGTTTAAAATGGCATTATATCCCTTCGAAAGATGTTGACTATTTCTGTTATAAGTGAATAGGCAGTTGATAAATACCGATGTCTGAGACTATCTCAGTGACACAGAATATGTTCTGCCATTTTTTTCTGTTCTTCGTGACAAAGTCTGCAGCTATCGTCCCTTATAATATATAGATTCGAAAAATGTTTCTAAACTCCATAATGTCTAGTGGGAAACCCTGTAAGAAATCGAACACCTTTTCTATTCAGCATTAGTAGCTCCCTATTAAAGCACTCTGATACCCGAGAATTAAATGAAATAAAGTAAAGTGAAAGATTATCCACCTTCTTAGCTCATATTTTGCAATTATTAAAAAACGACTTAAGCACCTTTATTCATTAGTTTAAAAGAGTTTTGAAAATTCGGCTCAAAACTTTAATTTTGATCTATTTTAAATCAGAAAATTTTTTGCACTGATAGCACCATCTGATATCTGATATTGCACCTTTATCGCTTTTGATATCGCTTTTAATAATAACAGTTATAGTAATATTTATAATTATAATTGGTTTTCTCAATTGTCGATTTTATAGTTGTATCCGATAAAGATTAGGCCTATTATTGAATAATAATAAATATTGTAATTGTTATTTGCTTTGTCGATACCAAGTACAAATATCTCAGAACTTAACTTATCCTTGATCTAACATTGTTGCTTATAAAAACCCACTATTAGAAAACTTCAAACATATCAGAATATTGTATTGAGACGTGTGCTAAAAGCTCCATGGTATGTCATAAATGAAGATATACACAAAGACTTGAGAGTCGAAAGTGTGTAAAAGTATATCAAAGACAGAGCGTTGAAATTTTTCGATCTTGTGGATGAGCACACTTATTCAGAATTGAGCTCTCTCAAATCAAATGCAATATATTTTCCGCCAAGAAGATGTACTAAACTTCCAACCACACATCTGTAAATTTAAATAACTATTTATCAGACCTCAACGGAGCTCTTATTGCAGAAGATCATCCAAGTGGTCAAGTAATGCAGAAAGTATTGAATTTAGGTTCTCAAGTTCCTAAAGTTCCTTTCTCCTATTTTAGCAAACAAAGAAAAAGAATAAGAGATCTAACATTTTCAATACTCCCATCGAATTACATTTGCTCCTTCTAAACAAATTCGTAAGCTTTGTTTAAGGAAGGAAATGGATTAAATATGTAGCAGGTTCTCAAGTTCCTAAAGTTCCTTTCTCCTATTTTAGCAAACAAAGAAAAAGAATAAGAGATCTAACATATTCAATACTCCCATCGAATTACATTTGCTCCTTCTAAACAAATTCGTAAGCTTTGTTTAAGGAAGGAAATGGATTAAATATGTAGCAGGTAGCGTAATCAGATTTTTATCCAACATATAAAAGAAAATTGGCTTGATTCGTTTAGTATTATTATTGAAAAGCATTTTCCTGAACTCTAATGCAATCCTTACAATGATTTTCTAACTTCTTACTTGTTTCTTATACAACGATTTGATAACACTTTTAAAATCCTCTGTCCTTTGTTTTGGCGATAACATGTTTATTCAAGTCAAACTTTATTCTTTCCAACTTTCTATTAGAGATTTACGAGCAGGTAGTAATCTTTAGTGACACAATTAATCCGAAAAATGTACAGGATGCATAACAATTCGAGCTGCAATTCGTTTAGTTTGGTCGTTGTTAATTTAGACTATTGACTAGATTACTTTTTTCTTCCTTATTTGGAGCCTTGTTTTTGTCAGTATATTAATTGTGGATCAATGAATCAAATGTTCCTGACATTATTATAATAATTTTAGAAAGGATATTTAGTGTTTTGTCTTATTTCTTACATGTTAAACATTTTTGTCGTAATACACAATTTTATCTTTTTAATCTCTAAACTACACTCCCTTCTATTTCAATTATATTTAATCGAAACCACTTGTGGAAACATATTATTTAAATTAATTAATATTAGTAACGCTATTGGAGAAAACAATACTTTTTTTTAGTTTTGTTTGAACTTGATATCGATTGAATTTAATATCAATTTTAGTGGAAATGTTAGTATAATATTTAAACATAAATTAACAAGTAATACTTTTAATGGCCTCACATTAGCCAGACTGAACGATAATTTAATGTCATCCTTTGACGGTCGATGGACATTAACATGCACTCCATAGCCACGAGCTAATTGAAACTAAATGACAAACCAATAAAAAAGGAGCTGACAATTACAACAAAAACAAAGCGAAAAAGTCAATCTTGTCAGACCAACGAAGAGACTACCGCGCCAAGCCGGAAATCTCATTTGATGATTGCAATTTAAGGCAATTATTACGAGGTAATGTTATGACCCAAGGGAAGACAGGGAATAATCACAATAACAACTATAACGGCTAAAAACAACAGAAACAACAAAAACAATACGAATTTGGTCTATGCCCGCAGGTTAAATCGATTGTTTTATGCAAAACATTGAATTGTCTTTAAAGCTATCAAATCATTGGCCTCTTGAAGAATGTACAGTACTGTAAAAAGAGTGCCAAAGGCACCGAATTTAATTTAAATTACCGGGGGTTTCGAATACCCATAATAGAAAATTCACAAATAAAAATAAATTTCAATGCTAATTTCTGGCAATTTGGTCATGGAGGTTGCTGCACTTTTTATTGGCATTGAATCCAGAGAGACTAAAAACTTTTTTAAGTCGCCGCTTCGTAGCAAATCTAATAAAAAAAGGTGCATTTCTTTCTAATTTAACTACAAAAAAAAAATAAAGGTGATTAGTAGAGTTTTTCAAAGCCTGCATATGTATTGTCGAGTACATGTCATCCATTAATTGTAGTTTTTATAAAATAGTAAAATTAAGTTTAATGTCAATATTGTGTGGCTTAGTTCCATTTCAACAATTTCAGCAAAAATATTAGTTGACTTTTAATTGGCGGAGCAATATTAAAAGACAATCTGAGCAATGCGTTTTTGTGCTAAAATAAATTGTGGCAAATCTCAGTGCACAAAAGCGAAAGAAGTTAAATGCTAGCGTTTACTCCGCTTACTTCAGAGTCGGACCCCACATGCTTTCATAATTTTAATAAATGTTTATTTAATGTATTTTACAATTTTCTATTCCACAGGCAATTACCTTAGCGAAGACATGCGAGGCAACAACGGAGATGCGTGAGTGTCGCTCGCCAAAGGATTGGTCTTTGTTGGCTTTGCAGAACACACGCACTGGAAAATCTCATTATCTAGTAATATGCAGGTGTCCAGATCATTTTAAAATGGGTACGTTTAAATTTTATTGGTTATTTCTAGTTATAATAAAAATAGATTGAAAAATCCATGCCGCACGAATAGTTTCTCCATTCTTCCAATTTATTTAACATTAAATTATTTTATTCATAACAAATCGCTGGTATTTAAAAGTACTAATGATGATCATAACAATTTAGTACTACAAGTAACCCTTAAAGGTATAACAGATTATATGGGTTTCTGGGAACTAAATTTTAGATTGTTTGTTTTTATTGGAATCGTAACAAGCAACATTACTTTTGGAGCAACAAGAGTTGTAGTATAAAAAATATGAATACAATTATTAGATTAAATAATTTATTTTTCAAAGATATTGCTATAGCTACATTTAGCTAGCTAGTTTTATTATACAAGGTATTAAAACAATAAATTAAAACAAACAAAAAGCATCTAATTATTAGGTAACTAACAAGCAATTTAGATTTAATCAGATTTAGACGATTTCACGCAACATTTAATTAACTGAAATACAATCAATAATTCAAAGATCAAAGATAGTCCAAAGATCGCAAGGATTTTGACACTTTAGACGACGTATTGGCTTATATACAAGAAATTGAAGGCCTTTACTATATAATTTTTCTCTAATATATTCACTATTTCGATAATCTAACAAATCGCCTTTAATAAATGAAAGCGAATTGCATTATCGTGTTTATAGCCGTGATTAGCTTTATACCTAATAATACGTTTCCACTGGTTTCGTTAGACCAGTTAACTTACTGAAGATTCAAGTAATTCAAGAAATCTCAAGTAAGTTAACTGGTCTATAACGAGCCCAGTAGAAACAGACTTCAAGTCAACGCAAGAAGCACTGGTATTTTTGATTCAAAGATCAATCGGATTTACGTTCTAAACCCACTTCTGCATCACTGAAAATAATTGCTTACTAAGTAGGCTTCCCCAGGTGAATATATTCGGAATAAAACAGCGCATATGCTTTCAAAAGCTTGTACCTATCAACTGACAATAATAATATTTACTTAATAATAACTGATAATAATACTTAATGGTACCGAAATATGCCGAAACCAATTCACGAAGTCATTTGTCATTGGCAATCTATTATTCACCAGAATTATCTCCGAATTTCAATGATTTGTATGAAGGGCGAATGAAAGAATAGTCTTTAGTATATTTTTAGTATATATTTTACTAAAGATGTTTCCAAAGACATGCATTTGTTAAATATGTCTATAGTTACTAATACATTTATAGTAGACGTTTGCGAAAAATACCTATGATAACAGAAACATAATGCGGAATACAGACATCTTGTATGTTATTAAAGGATATATTAGTGAAAATATGTTTCGCAATAGATATTAATAATAAATAGATATTAATAATAGTAAAACTTTATATATATGCGTTGAATACCAATGTATTACTACAGACAAATATTTTATATATGTTAAACTTGTATAAAATAAAAAAAATTTCATACCACCGTGAAGGTGGTGTCAACTGAAAAATAATCAACCTCCGAACTGCAGCCAGTGTGAATACGACTACTCACTATAAATAAATAATATTTTTTCCTTCTAACTCCTGCAGATTCAAATCACTTTTTTCAACTCTACTAACATATCACACCTTTAACAATTAACATGATTAATTAATAGTAAAATATTTTTATAATTAAAATTTTTGTTAATTTATTTCAGAGGGACCAATGGCACATGATCAACCAACCTATGCTAGCGTACCAGGCATACGTGTTTTTGGCATGATGTGTGTTAAACCCGGTTACTCAGTGCGTAAGCCATCGGCTCAACCTCCAAAACGTTACCAGCTGCAAAAACCCTTCTACAGGCCACAAAATGTACAAAGCAGCAGTAGCAGTTTCTTAAGCAACAGTCAATTCAATAATAAGGATAATTATGGACGTCCAACATATGGGCTAAATAATGGCGGTTCATCTTCCAGCAGTAATTATCATGGTCAAGATATATACTCAAATCAACATCAAAGCGGATATCAATATCTGAATAGACCAGAAAGCTCACACAGCTCACCATTAAGTTCATCGAATTATCGTCCAGAATCGATCAATAATTTCCAAAATGGTATATACGGCAGAAATAATGAACGCAAAGGAGCCACATCTATAGAAGCAGCAACAGAAGAGGACAACAAAAGCTCTATCAGCACAAGTACATTACCCACAGAAGAAGCGAGAACCACAATGACAGCAGCTGACAGTGAAATTAACAGCAGCAGCTCAGCAGCGGACCTGGGTGTGACCATTAGTGCAGACTCGAGCACAACCATACAAAGTGAAGAAAATAAGCGTGAGAAACGCTCTCTCGCTGAAAATACTATTGATCTAGATGATGACACGCCTGAGTTTCCATGGGATCGTGTGTTGGAGTTTCAGCAGACAATTGTTTGGGACTAAACATGCTCTGCTGATTTTAATTTAATTTAGTTTTACTTAAGAGTTTTAAACAAGCATTAAGATTTCCAAACTAAGCAAAAAGAATTTCAAATTAAACAATTTTCAATGAAACTTACTGTGACTGAACGCAAAAATTTCTAATATTTAATACTTTATATATATTTAAATGGAAAGAGAAGGCATATTAAACAATATGGCATTTCATTCAAATCTTCTAACTAGAACTTAGCATATTTTGTCGACAGAATATACTAACTGCAAGATACTTTAAATTAATCTAAACTTTATATTTAATTTAGTTAAGTGGCATTTAACATTTTTTTAATATGTAAAATTCAAACATATAACTTCTATATGTTTTAGGTATACGATACGATTTTATAAGTAACGAATTAATTAAATAATTTTAAATGCGCAGAATTGTTTAATTAATTTGTTTGGTGTTGAGTTAGAGAAATACTAATTTCTTTCCCAAGAAAATTATTATTGGTAAAATTCTACAAACCTAACACCGTATCAGTTTAAATTTAATATTTAGCATAAAACTATTTATTATATGCTTAAATGTAGGCTGCATTTACTAGTAAGTAATTTATGAACAAAAATATAAATTTAAATTTAAAATTTTTGCATTAAAATAATGTAATAAATGAATATTTCTATTTATAAAAATAAAATAAAATTTCAAATATAATTGCGTCTGTATAAAACTTATTTACTCACCCAATACTTCAGCATCCACTACTATATTACAACTGTACATCGGACTGACTAAACGTTGAGGTTGATTTTGAAATGCTTGTTTGCAGGCTTCCTTTGCCGTTGTTAAAATTTGTCCTATAAGAAGAAATTCATATAAATATTTCATATACTGTATATAATTCTATTGTGTCTTCACAGCTTACCAGAAAAGGGTCCAAACGATTTGGTATTTAACTCATCATCACTTGCATGCACCGACCATTCCAATACCACAAAACAAACGCCTTGCATAGGTTCTTCACACAATGGCCCAGCGGAAGATGTCAGTTGAAAGCCATTTACAAAAGAACTATTATAATTACAGCGGATATCACTAGTGTCCCTTCCAATCCTACTACTGTCAACATCTGCTGTTCTATTAAGTGCGTACCATAGATTCGGTTGCTCATAATCACTTAAATTAAGTAAAATATTTGTGCCACAATTACGTGGCCCTAAGGCCCACAAACGTTCTACCAACTCTGCTGTATTATATGAGCTGAGTTCTTTTAAATCAAAATCTTTAAAAGCGGCTGTTAAATTAGTCTTAATTTGAGCTAATAGAGAAGTAGATTTCTCTGATACAGGGGACGACTTAGACATGCTTGACAATTCCTGCAATAAAAATTAAATAAATCGGTTGGATTAGAAAAATTTTAAATTCAAGTTAATAATATTTATATTGTAAAAAGTTGGTGCATGTTGGGAGCGAAAGCAATTAAAATGAATGCAAATACACTTGTCAGGCACGTAGTTAGAAATTTAATTTGAGAGGGACTTTCAAATAATATCTGAGATTTATATATATATATATTTAAGTGCAGTCCTTCGATTCATTTTCGTCCTTGCTATGAAAGTAGCCACACCCTTACTTATATTCTACGTTTCTGTACTTATTAAAAAAAGATACCTACAACCTAAACCCATATACAGATTGTGATTTCTGGAACTGCTGGGTCTACTTTATATATAAGAAATGTGGAACTGCCAAGCACTTATATATAAATGCAAGAAAATGCTAGATGGCTACACAACAACATAAACATGAATTGAGATGTTAAAAAACAGAACTAATACTACTATTTATTGAAGAGTTAGTGCTGAGTCACTTTAAGTCTAAGCACATCACATTTTACGGTCACGATGTAGCATTACTTTTTTATAACACCGCGTTATCAAATCTCAAAATGGTTACAGGCTCTTCGGGGAGGTATGCAGATCTGAAGTCAATTATTGTTTAGTCTAATAAAGTGATAAACAATAATCTAGTCAAGGTGTAGAGAGGGGTTTTGAAGAAACCTCCAGTTAAAAAAGAGTATAGCTCAAAAGAGTACTAGCTCAAAACATAATGCATTGAAGGGGTTTCCCTAAAGCAATCTGAATATTAAAAATATATATTTCTTTAGATATATTCATACCTTAAAAAAGCTTGTATACTTTTCTAACAAATCCACTACACTCTGTGGTAATGGTAATGCTATAACTTTTACAGTACTAAGTTTATTCGCAGTTTGTAGAGTAACGATCTTCTTTGTAATATCCTTATCGGTTGCAGTTCTAACTATGGTCTCATTAACCATATCTACTGTAGCATCAGGCACAATAGTTTCACGAAATGATACGATAGGTTTGGAAACATTAACTTTGATTTTTGCATAATTTTCTTCTAAATCATGGACACATTTCTCGACATGTACTTCACCCAAAGTGGTTATAACATGTTCTCCGGTAGCTGCCACAGACACTTGCACGCAAGCATCAGCCTATAAGTAAAGTAATTATAGATTAACAAAATATATCACCTTCTATATGGTATATGTTAAATACCTGATTTAGTAATTTCAATCCTTTAATTAGTTTTGGCGTTTCTAATGGATTGACAGGCTCTATTGCCACTCTTAAAATTGGTGTAGCCATAATACTTAACTCACTGAAGGAACTGCAGTGCATTGTGCTACTCAAAGTAGCAGTTTTAATAATATCATTTTCTAAGCCACCGATACCAACAATATTACCAGCTGGTACTTCATCCAGTGGTTGTAATTCACCACCCATAAAGAGGTATAAATCACCAACAGTTACTTCAGTAACATAAGGCGAGTCTAAGTTAAGTTGACTGAGCAATATAGATAATATGAAATTAATCAAAAACTAATTAAATTTTCAATAAACTAAGTACTCACTCCTTATTGCGTGGGTCATGCTTAGGTGTTAAATTGTATAACTTCATACCGCGTTTTATGGTGCCACTAAATACACGTGCAAAAGCTATGAACACAAAATTCTCTTTGTCTGCTTCACAAAGCGAAGAAATCTCTTCCTCGACTTCTTTTGTCTCTACATTTAATTTTTCTACACCAGTTGTTATGCTCTCCAGTTCAGTTTGTGCAGCCAGTTTTTTTCGTTCCTCAATACGTTTGCGTACTTCATCACGTCGAGCCTGCAGTTCGTCCTCAGTGAACCGTTTCGGTTTATTTTGTGGTAATTGTGCTATGTGCACTGGAAACATCTATTCGAGCATTTTTTTTTTATTAAAAATTGGAATACTAAAAACTATTGATTAAAAATGTTTACCTTAGAAACAAATGCAATGACATTTTCACTTTTATCATCACAACGTTTAAAATCTTCCTTTAAAGCTAATGTCTCTGGTGAGTATGTGCTCAAATCGGCATTTTCCGGATATAGTAGTCTTTGCGCACGTTCATCGGATATATCATTTGGTGGTGGTATATGTTTTATAACCATTTCAAGCACTGTACGATCAACTGGTAGCCACTGACCAAGCACAGTTTTTATTTGTGCTTTTGGCTCACCTAAGCGTAAGTCACGTGGTAACAACTTAATACCAAGTTTTTCTGCAATGACTAGAGAGGAAAATACATAAATAAACTACTATTTTCTTTTGCATTAGAGAGAGTTAAAGTAAAGTTCTTACCTGGTAATTTCTCTTTGTCTTTGCGTATAACGATTGTGTCATATAAACTCCATATGTTTTCCAGAACAAATTGTACAAACATTGGCTTTTTTGCTTTCTCCTGTGCACCTGCAACAGCACAATTCTTCTTCGCATTATAATAGTAATCGCCCCAGAGCACCTGCTCTAATTCCTTACAACCCATATTTAAGCGTTTTGCATATGTGACTGCAAAATCTGTGACCGAAAATGCCCACCCATCAAAAGCAGAACAAAATATCACATTTCCGGCTGCAGGTGAGAAATACAAATTGGAATCATCAACTTCTTCCAGTGCAGATTCATAGGTATCCTATTTATATTTTTTTATAAATCAATTAAATAATTATTTTTAGTAACATTACTATTCAAGTAGTAACATTATCGCAAACCTTTTTAGCTATATCCTCCTTTGCAAGCACGTCTGATGCAAAAATTTTACCAAGTGCTGCGTTTACTTGTTCCAAGATCTGTGATATATGAAAATAGGCATCCAAAGGTGTCATTTGTTTTTCTAAAATCAAACGATCTATTTTGTTAAGCACCAGCACAGGCTTCAATTTCTCAACATAAGTTTGTTGCAGACACACACTAGTTTGTGGACAAACTCCCTCAACTACATCCACCTAATTTATATAGAGTGAGGAGAGTAATGTTAATTTTGTTAGAAACTTAATTTATTCAATAAATTGTAATATTATTTTTAAACTTAATAACATTTATTATTAAAAGGCTTTGGTGGATTGAATTGGAGTTGTGTAGGTAATAACCTATTCATTTCAAAATTATCTCAAATTTAAAACGATCTATAAATAGAGACTAGTAAATATCAAACAATTCGTGTATTTAATTATCGAATACAATCGAAATAAGATAATTTCATAACTTTAACCAATACCTTGAAATCCGTTAAGCTGATCAGTAAGTGAGGGAATAGATTCATTATTATTATCATACTCACCTCACTTAACAATAGTAAGTAAGGTTGAGATCATAAGTATTTACATAACAAGAAAGTTTTCAATAGAGTTCTACCTTAAATCTTTAAAGTATTCACATTTCATTAAAGTCACAATATAGTTAATGCTAAACAGTTATTTATCATGCATATACTTGTAGTGGTTTCTTATGTTGGGGTTTATTTCGAATTGAACACTCCGTATTGGTAATGGATAAGTTTATTTATTTCTTATACTTAGTTATTATAAAATATTCTTAAAGTTAAGATTTGTGTTTTTACGTTTTATTCACGTGCTGCTTTGTCTTTTTCCAAACTACTACTGGCGGGAACTGCGGATATTGTTGTCTCCTTTGTGCCTTGTTGACAGTTCTTTTTATTATATTTTTTGGTGCTGCCACAGTACTCCCCCCTAAGTGATGGAGTCACTGAATTTGGTTGGAAAGCGAACGTTGCGTCCTGA